CAAAAATTTTTCATGTGTCCTGGTCACTGCGTTTCATAAAAAAATTTACCTCATGCCTAGTGACTTTCTTTTAGTTTTCTTTTTTTATTGTAAACGTATGCACATGAACACACACACAAACCTGAACAATCATGTTGCTACAGTTTGCTTTCTGACTCAGCACGGGAAGTTTTTGCCAGTGCTCAGTTACTGCAGACTGTCCCCTGCACAGTATCAAATGCGACAGCAATTATACACTAGTCCAGAAATATCCAGGCCTGCAATACACATAAATTTCAAATTCAGGGCATACTTAAAAATCACTACCATCAAAGAATTCAAAATGAAGGACATTATCACTAAACAAGAAACTAATGACTGGGCAGAGCTGTGGAATGTAATCCCTTAAGATGGGATCTCTGCTGGATTACAGAGGAGCCTTTGTGCTGTCCAGTGTCTCATGAACAATCTTAACTGTTACGGACAGCAGGAGGAGGGAGCCTCCAATACACAAAGCCTCTCTTCCTTCTGCGATCTCTGAAGGGAGAGCTTAAGAGTACACTTTTCATGATTCTGCCAGACTTCTGAATATTTGAAAATGCTATTAAATGTGTAACCCTAAGTCATTTAAATAAAAACTAAGACTTCAGCTAATAAATTTAGGAATCTTGATTTAGTGCTAAGTCACTCATTAATTTTGTGACCAAAATAAAATAATAATTCATTATGCCCAGAAAACCATTTAAAATCGCTTATCCTGTGAGCACAAATGTTTCTAAAGACCTGATTTGTCTTTGTTCAAGTCTTGCTATAAGCCTGGATTTGAAACTTTCCCCCCATTAAAATCCCCCTACTGAATAATAATAATGATGATGAAGTTGAAATACAAAATGTTTTATTTATTAATGTCTACTATCTGGCACAATCATGATACCCCTAAATAACACCACTCCTTTGTGAATTTCTTTACCAATTCCAATTCATTGAGTTTACAGTCCTCTTCCATGCCTCATAGTGAATGGGTCTTAGTGATGTAGGTCTTAGAGCAGGATTCCTCTTTTTAAATAGAAAAACATCACTCAGAGTTTCAGAGGCAGCCCATGACTACACAGATGCAGGGCTACTCCGTTGCTTCTCCCTACATAAATCCCATTAGCTTATCTGTGTGAGGGAGGATGATTCATTAGTTTGCTATGGCTGCGTCTTCTGAACTCCCCTTGTTAACCTGTGGAAATACCCAGGAGTCCCCTTCCGATGTTCATTGGTTGATCGAAGGACTGTGTTATTTCTACTTGCATACAGAAATAAATCAAGAAAGCCCTCCAGTCTCTGTGTTGCATTTACAAAGTGGGAGAAGGGAAAGCTGCCTTCCTATGAAGGTTCAGTGGATAGAGGTATAGAGTGCCAGGAGCCTGGTTAGAGCCTAACATCGAGTATAACAAACAGCAGTTTTCCTCTTAGAAGCATAACTTCCAGTTGTGTTGCACAGCTCCATGTTGGTTTCTGCAGGCACGACGCCTCGTGTATATTAAAAACAGCCAATTACGAATTAGCTTGTATGTGTCAAGAGTGGTGGAGTGGTTCCTACCAGTGAATCACAGGACCAGCAATTTCAGGAGAGGCAGCACATGTGAAAAACAAACCAAGAACCACAGAGCCCCAGGCTCAATGCATACTGAGCACTGCAGTCCAAGCAACCAGAAAGGCAGGCTTATTAGGAACAGCTCATGCAGAAACCATGAAGGCTGCAACAGGCAAGCCCTGCCCTGCTCAGCCCTGTAAAACTCCGAGCAAGAAATCCTTTCCTGCACCAATGCAATGTCTCCCTATTCCAGGGGTAACTCAAGCCAAGGCAGGCACCAAACACCAGGTGAAAAGACTTCATCTCTTACTGTGTTGCCTAAGCACTTGGGGGGGGTTGCCAGATCACACCTTCTCCTCTAATCTATTAACATGCTTCTCTAACCTGGCTTGCTATGCTGGAATCACCACACTGCTCTAGCACCAGGACACAAAGTCATGTGGCTCACTGAATGCTAACACATTCACCTCTCACTCTCCAGTAGACCCCCTGAGCTCAGGCCTCAGTGACCTGTTCCTTCCCCACCAGTCTGGCCGCTCCTTTCAGACTTGACTTCTGAACCATCTCCTTGATCTTCTTGGGTAGGACTTGACTCCTTCAGTCACAGGTTAAATTCTTCTTTCTGCTAGTCTGACTTATAAGTCACCTCACCTACCTGACCTCCTATCTCAAGTAAAGCTTATCTTCCTCAAGTCAATATTGGATGTGGAAGTATCTGAGTTTACCTTCCAGTTTCCCTGTGGAGACCACACTCTAGGACAGGCTACTTTGATGAAACTCAGATTCCTTATCTAGCTGTCACCAAACTCTTTCTCCCTAAGGTCATTCCAATTCCTTTACTCTCTAACCAACAACTTGGGCCTGCATTATCCTAAGTAGAATTCTCAAAGAGAATTCAAGGGCCAGAAAGCATGGTTTCTGACTGGAAATGTTTATTTTATGTAGTCACCATGATGAGATCGTCATGGAAGATGTACATTAGACTTCCTGTCCCTTTAGTTCATTCTTGGTCCTCGGTGTGACTGAGGACTATGAGGGTGATGATTACAGAATCTGGACCAAGTGTTTGACTGCCAGTCTGAGTACCTCCAGAGCTCTCTTCCTCTATACCACATTCGAGTGACATACCAGATGAGGATGTTCCCTCAGGTCAGGTGCCAGAATGAGGGTGACTCTGAACCCAGATCCCTTCAGTCCAAAATGAACATGGAGCCTTAATGAGACATAGCCTCTGTTGCTGGAACCACTGAAGTTTAAAGTTGGTCTCTTACCTCAGCACCATCTACCTTATCCAAACTGGTCCACTTTATAACTGGCACACCTCAGATAACTAAAACTATCCTGACCCAAATAAGGGCTGAAGTTGCCACAAGCTGAACTACTGGTTCTATCTTGGTTGTGGCAAGTAAGCCAGCTAAGTTGAAATCTCCTGATTCTGACCTGAATCAACCCAATCCTGATTTTTCCCAGGGATTCCATTTTGAGCCCTCAGTATCATGAAAGTCCGTGCCAGATCTCCCCAGCCAGGCCTCTCACGAGGTAATTCTCAAGGTATAATTTCCAAAGCATAGGCTCAGCTGTTCTCGCAGATGTTCTGTGGAGAACATACTGTGCCATGAGTATTTGAGTGAATGTCTCAGGCCAGCTGTCTCACAGCAGACATTTCATAGACTTCCTGGTGCTTGTGCCAGGAACATGTATTTAGCCTTGGTGTCACCTGCCCTTTTAGTACAGAGATTTACAAGGGAACTCCGGGATGTTATAAAGTCTACAGGAAACAACTGTACATACAATGATGACTTTGTCGCAAAGGTGATTGAATTGGTGAGGAAGTGGTTGAAAATCTTTCATGGCTATAACTCTGGAATGAATCCTTCTCTTCCCAGATCATTGCCCCTGCAGTCTTTTGCATTGTACAATAATTTAGCTCAAGTATTATAAAAAATATTTCTTATACCATATTTTAAGCACAACTTTTGTTTCTGAGATTGTGATGGTCTATGTGCCGATATGAACAACTACTTATAATAGTAACTTGCTATAGAATAATCATTTTGTACCCTGTGAAGCTACGTATTTGCCAAGGCACCTTCTGATTGCCTTAATACAGAACTGAATGGTGAATAGATAAGTAGGACTTCTGGACAGAGAAATAAGAGGAGATCAATCAATCTAGGCATAGAAGGGATGCCATAGGACAGGGAGAAGAAACAGGAGATGCAAGATAGAAGAAAGGAAGAAAGCCATGAGGCAAAATGTAGATTAATTTAAATGCACTAATTTACGTTATAAGAGCTAGTGGGACAAGCCTCAACTATAGGCTGATTTTTCATAATTAATAATAAGTTTCTGTGTCATTTTTTTGTGAGCTGGTAGCCAGGAAGAAAGTTCAACCACAGTAACTATTATCAAGTAACTGACCCACGGGCAAGCTTTGTTCTAAAGTTCCCATTTTGTCTTTACTACAAACCTAAACCATGGTAACTATTGCCATTGCTTTTATTGTGGAAGATAATAAAGCGTAAAGAACTTAAATAACTCAAAATCACATGGAATGTCTTGGCAATGTTCTTAACCATAATTTTGTATTGACTAAAGACATCAATAATAATGTGGTGGTTTGAATAGGATTGTCCCCATAAATTCATATATTGAATGATTGATCTCTGGAGAGTGGTGCTACTTGGCAGGGATTAGGGGATGTGGCTTTGTTGGAGTAGGTGTGACCTTATTGGAGGAAGCGTGTCACTGGAGGGTGAGTTTTTGGGTTTCAAATGCATAAGCCAGGCCCAGTGTCTCTCTTTCTGCAGATCCAGATGTAGAACTCTCAGTTACTCTCCAGCACTTCGTCTGCCCACATGCCAACAGACTTCCCACCATGATGACAATGGGCCAAACTTCTGAACTCTAAGCCGAACCCAATTAAATGTTTTCCTTTGTAAGACTTGCCATGGTCATTGTGTCTCTTTACAGCAATAGAATATTGACTAAGACAAATGATAGCCACCTTTCTGGAATGTAAATGGTATGTGTACCTTTCATAATCTTACTCTGTCCTCATAGCACTGGGAGTAAATAACACCTCTGCTCTGCAGGGGAGGAAACCAACATTCCAAGACATTAAATAATTTGTTCAAAGTCACATGATGATAAGTGGCACTACACCACCTCATCTAAATGTCAAAATTAATTTTAGAGTGAGGTGTAGCTGATGCTTTTTTATGAGAGATATGCAGCAAAAGATGCCATATTTGAACTACCTGAAGATGGTTCCTGTTATTCTGTGACTTGGAGGGAGAAAAGCTAAGGCATGGTGAATTAGAAAACAAAACATATATGATGGAGCACTGTTAGCGCAGAAACAAACTTACTTACTTATTTACTTACTTACTTGTTTACTTACTTACTTATTGGGAAAGCTTGGGAAGTGAGGACTTACCACTGGAGGGAGCTATGGCTTTAAATCTAAATTCTAGGCACAAGTACTTGTAGAGCAGGGCTTAGCACATGTCCCAGGAAGGGCCAGATGGTAGACATGATGGACTTTGTGTATCATGAGGTCCCTCTGTCACTGCTGTTCAACACTGCCATACCATTGTTACAAGGAGGCAGTCACAGGCAATATGTGAATGGTGAACCCTGGCTATACCCATTTACAGCCTGGAAGAGACATCATAATGTCTCTGTCAGTGCTGCCATCATTACAGCAAAGCAGTCACAAATAGTATGTGAATGAAAGAGGCCTGGATATGCCCATCAAAGCCAGGGAGAGAGAATTGTTTTTCCTTGAATGGTTGAAACACATTCATTGCTTCATATTCCATAATTTGCCATCGCATCAATACGCCCACTTCCTGGGCCTCCTATTATAAATTTATAATGACTCTTGAGTCTTCTTCAGCAGTTTTTTTTATAACTTAGACTGAATCATAAATTCAACTCAGCAAAATCCCGAAATAGAACAATGACAAAAAACGACTTACTATTATTCATTCATGTACTAAACAGTGACATCTAGGATTTATGTCGGTGACAAGGAGTCTTCACTTTCTTCACTCATATTAAGTTCCTGATTCTCAATGTTATTTCCCTTACAGGTGAGAAAACTGAGGCTTAAGTAATATCTTAGTGATACTGTTCATAAATGGTAGAGCCAGGAGTTCAACATGCATCCAAGTTCTGACGCCTTGTTACATTGAACAGGCATTGTTGCTCTGTACAAGGAGACGGACTAGTGTTCACCACACAGATCACCCCTGCTGGTGGAGTTGTAGTTCAGTGGCAAGATAGCTTTAACCTTTCATTTCACTATGATTTTACTTTTTTAGAAAAGTTGCAAACAGTACACAAATGATTCTCACACTCCCTCCGATTTGTTCTCCCAAAGTTGACATTTCTCACAGTCATACATTTACCAATCCTAAGAAATTAACACTGGAAAAATATTGCCAATCCAACTACACATACAAAGAGTTTTCTGATGTTTTAATGTTCTAGTATCCAATCCAGACATGCTTCTTAGTGTCCTTCAATCTGGGACAGTTTCTTAGACTTCCTTTGTTTTCTACAACTTTGGCACTTTTGAAAATTATTAACCAGGTATTTTATAAAAAGCACCTCAGTTTGGTTTTATCTAATAAGGTTCCATAATCACATTGGTGTATTGGGTTTTAGACAAACAGCAGAGATATGTTCTATTCTCATCACATCCCTTCAGGGACAAATGCTGTTCATATGAGGCTTCACTGCTGATGTTAAATGTAACTATTTAATCAAGGTAGTATCTGGCAGATTTCTTTGCCCAGAGCTACTCTTTTTCCCATTTTTAAATTGTATTAATTAGAAGTGAGTAGTAAATCCAGACTACACAGGATGATAATTAAGCAGTACTCCCAGGAGGAGGGAGTAACTACACTGAATTCTACAAGAAATTAGTGCTATTTCAATGAAATCACAATGTGTGTTATTTTGGTTACAATACTGTATTGCCTTTATATATTTGAATTATGCCCTTTGAATTTTTCAACTTTAGGCATTGGGAACTTTTGTATGTTGGCTATTATGACTGTTCATGTGTATTCTTTTTATATTGCTGTTTGTTTGATTGAGAAATGTTCAGAATCCAGGTTGAGCTCTACACCACCCAGGCTGGTCTTCAACTTTGAATCATCTTCCCCAACAAGGCATTATAAATGTAAATCACCACGTCTATGTATTGTTTTAGAGACCTGTGCTTTCTCTTATTACACTATGCTAGAGGTTCACCTGCTTGCGTGTAACAACCCTAAAGTCAGTCATTTCTGCAAAGAGCACTGGTTTTCTCATTGACAAATGGTATTTGAAATCAAGATCTAGATGCTAGAGTGCTTCTAGATATTCTCAGGTGCTTTTAGGTCCTTTCAAGAAAGCAAATAGAAAATATGTGAATATACTAGCCTATGTGTGCACACATATGATAATATTAAATAAATTAATGCATTAACAATTTTCATTAAGGAAAATAATTTCAAGCCTTAAGTTAGTATCTAGTATAGACACAATTACTTCAAAGAAGTCTTTGCTACAGAACAAATATTAATGATATGATTTACTAAGCATTAGGAATCATCCAGTTGAAAGGGCACAGAGGGACCATTCAGATTAAGGAACCTCACTGAAGAACCACCATAAGGAGAGGAAAAAATTGATTGCAAAGAGACAGACACAAGAGCAGGCCTGAAAGTCTGGAACAAATTACAAATTGTTGCAGATGCAGAGGGGATGCCACTGGAGAGTTTCTAGTGTGTAGAAGAAAACATTCTTCTTCACTTAGAAATGAGGGACCACGAGAGATGATATTCTCCTACCTGTTTGGTATCCCTCACTCCCTCCACCTACAAACTTTTCTCATCTGATATGAATCTACAGGAATTTTTGCAGCATCACTCTGGTCCATTCTAGTGCTTTTTTCATCGCAGTCTTTGACTCTCATCTCACCAAGACTAGATCTATAAAAAGGACTCACACTCACTGCCAGGTGCAGTGCACCCTGGGCTTTCAGTAAGCTTGTCCCACCAAAAGGAGCTGCAACCTATCTGGTAGTGCAGTCCCCAAACTGCTGTAGACCATGCTATCATCCATAGACATCTCCAGCATTGAAGTTCGACTCAAATCACATCACTATTCCAAGGATACCTCAATTTCTGCATGCTTCTGTCTCTACAATAGCATTTGTGTGTTAGGTTGATCATCTGCCTCTATCAATTTTGTAGGGTAGCTCTTCCAGGAAAAAACTTCCAGTTAGTGGTAAGCCCTTAAGAGTCGACTAGATAAGCTATAACTTTGGCTTTGTTTCCAACAGAGCTCTTATTTTTTTTTAAAAAGGTCTTGCTACATAGTCCAGGCTAACCTCAAACTTCCTATCTTTTTGCTTCAAACTCTTGAGCACTAGGATTACAGGTGTGCTAATCATGCCTGGATTTCTAGGCATGATTGTTTACATTGGGAGTGTGTATACAATAATATATAAAGAAAGGTTGGTTGCATTAGGAGTGTGTATATATAAATACATAAAGAAAGATAGATTGTGTTGGCAATGTGCATACATCAATATATAAAGAAAGGTTGATTATTTATGTTTGGAGTGTGCATATATAACTATATAAATGTTGATTATTTGCATTAGGAGTGTGTATACATTAATATATAAAGAAAGGATGATTATTTGTATTGGGAGTGTGTATACATTAATATATATAGAAATGTTGATTATTTGTGTTCAGTGTGTGTATACATTAATATATAAGGAAATATTATTTGCATTGGGAGTGTATATACATTAATATATAAGGAAAGGTTGATTATTTGTGTTCAGCATGTGCACACATTAATATATAAGGAAAGATTGATTACTTGCATTGGGAGTGTATATACATTAATATATAAAGGTTGATTACTTGTGTTCAGCATGTGCATACATTAATATATAAGGAAAGATTGATTATTTGCATTGGAAGTGTATATAATTAATATATAAGGAAAGATTGTACTTTGTCTTATGCACATATACTATGAGAGCCAGTCAGAAGATAATGATGCTTGTCACATGCAAGAATTTGCACAGAAGGTTTTTAGGGTGTCCTTTATTAAAATGGAAGCCACTCCCCACAGGGTATTTTATATTAAAGATCCCAAGATTAAGTTACGAGTTATATTGCACTAAATTTAGCAAATGGGTTTCAACTCCCCTGTCAATACTGATTGATAGTGGTTTCTGGGAGCACTTAGTTGAAAAAGACTGTGATATAATTGACTTTCCTTGTGGCTGTGGTAAGATACCTGAGAAAGCAACTGAAGGGAATTGTGGCTTGCTGTGTCATACGGTTTGAGAGGCTGTAGTCCACCATGGCTGGGATGGAGAGGCTGTTACATGGCATCCACAGTCAAGAAGCAAAAAGATGAATGCTCATCCTTCACTTGCTTTCTCCTTTCTCTCCTTTCTCTTCAGACCATGGAATGGTGACTCAGATCAGCAGGTTGTTCTTCAGTGACAGGGTCCTGAATGGGAGGTGGCCAGGAGGTGAGAAGGTAAAGAAGAGACACAAAAGCTGGGGCCAGCAGGTCTTGCATAAGCTATGTCTTATGCCAAACAAATTTATTATGAAAAGTAGCATCTAATAACTGTTTTGCAGTGGGAAATAGGACCCATGTCAGCAGAAAGGTAAATCAAGCAATGTTGGCAAAAAGACCACAGTATACCTCAGACATAGCTGCCCCAGGACTGATAACCACAGCCCTTCAAGAGAGAAAGCTGAGTTCACATGAACCTTAACTCCTTTGAGGCCTAGGCCCAAGGCCCACACTGGACAAAGACCAGTCTGTGCCTTTGGCAATGCCAAAGACCTAGGATCCTTTAGTCTTCATCAAGACCTCTGAGAAAGTCTTGAATTGGTCTGGCTCCCAACAGAATGTTACCAGTCCCGCTTATTTGATATTATGACATAATCTACCCCATCCAGAAATTCACCCACAGATACACCCAACTATCCGTTTCCTAGGTAATTCTAGAACCTGGCAAGTTTACAGTCAGCTTTAACCATAGCAACAGTGAAGACAACAGTAAACTTACTGCAAAGATCATGGCTATCTATGTTAAGGGTAGAGTCAAAGGGTTAACAAACCCTCAATGGATTTGCCTTTGGATTTGGGAAAGGAGGAATATACACAGACCCAAGATTGTACAGTTAGCCACCTAGTCATCTATTTATCTTCTTATTCAAAAAAGTAACAAAAGTATAAGTAAAAAGACAAGTCATGACAATGTACAGTAAGATCAAATGATAAGACAAGAGCACTACTACATGCAAGTCATGAACTCCCATGCATTTGAAATTTCACGTTACATCAATTAAAAGCTGAAAGTGTAATTATAAGATCCAGAGTGTGTAAAATAAGCAGGTCATATGAGTAAGATAGGACATAACACTTTCATATGAAAATAGATGTGGAGACAGAAGTCGTGGGTGTTAATCCTAGGCCTGCTATTGAGTAGCAGTTGAATTTCTGAGATTTATTTAAATTGACTACCTCAGTGTTGTTATTTGGTAATTTGGCAAAAAAAATTGTGAT